CCCCAAAACCCCAAAACCCCAAAACCCCGTGAGATGATAGTAAGGTAAGAGTGATGCTAAAATAATAAAGAAAGAAAGATTCTAGAGCCAAATAATCAATCTTAGTTTTTAGCAAGGGCTGCTGTTGAGAATTATTTAATCTTCATTCCCACACAATCTTCGAAGCATTTTTTCTCAACAGGTCTAGGATTGCTTGTTCTGAAGTTGTCAACACAAAAGTTAAAGCAATGCATTCCATTATTTAAAATTTATCTTGAAGATGCTAGGAATTCAAGTGTTTTCACAGAACTAGTGGTATTCATTTCTTTCTTTTATTATTATTTTTATTATAAAATAGACTAATATAATAAAAAATCATCAATGAAAGGTATAATTCTTTTAATAAGCGAGCCTCCCAATAATAGAAGGATCGTCTTCAAATACACTCAACTTGACACAAATATTAGACTTCAACCTACTGAAGAGTAGAAAAATCTACAGTCTATCATGAAAAAATTCCCACAAGCATTTTAAGAAAGTGAGCATATTAACTCTTGCTTTAGTAAAAGCCAAAAAGACGACTCAAATGAGAGAGAAAACTCAACAAAGACACTCCTTAAGTTATCTAAATCATTCTTTACAGAATTGTTTTTGCCTAAGGAAGCTAACTTTTAGAACACTCTATTTGATTTGACAGTTGAGTAAAATAGATTCCTCAGTTTTCCTTATTATTTGGAAGATTAGCAAAGCTAAAACAGAAAATAAGGTAAAAAGGAAGGGAAAAAGCAGTAAAAACTATAGAATGAGGGATAAAAAGAGGAAATAAAGATTAATAATGCTACATCCGGAGGAGAGCCAATAAAAGCTTAGCAATAATCTAATTTCAAAGGTATTCAGAGATATTCTTATAAATCATATATTTATAGAGGAAGGAGGAAGTTTGAACATCAAAGCTTTTAATTTTATCTTAGTAATTGATGCATACTGCGAATAGACTTTATCATAGTTGGACAATTACATTTCTGTTTTATAAGCACTAAGTAAGTACCTTAATGCTAAATTTTGTAGCTATAACAATGGCAAAAGAATAAATTAGGGATAATTTCATTGGTAAGTAGAGTTATAAGATTTTCAGGTTGAAATAATAAGCTTCAGAATTAAAAAATAAAACAAAGATTGAAAAAGATAGCTTTAGAAATAGATTACTATAAGAGTCAAACTTAGCAACTCATATGAGAGATATATTCGATAGTTTTTATGCGAAAACAACTTTAAAAATAAAGATTAATAATTGGATACAACTTTCAATAAATTAGAACCCATAGTACCTAGACTATTATCACAAACAAAAAGGAGAATCATAATTGCCATCTTATCAAAGAGCAGAGTAAATTAAGATATTACCAAATCAAACAATTCTGTTGTTTAACATTAAGAAAACATTGAAATCTCTACCAGAGGATTGCTCGTCCTTGATGCTTCAAGCTCTAGGGGTTATAAGTCCTTTGTAGAGTTTACAAAAACTTTGTGCTTAAAACGGAATGTCCTATAATGAACTTTAAAGAGCTGCTTAGCATCTTGTATATTGGAATCAAGCTCGAATAATATATCCTATAAATTTGAAATAGGTTTATGTGCTAAGTGAAAATCCAAATATTTAGAGAGTAGACATCTCTTAAAAATTTTATATGAAGTTTAATCATCTTAACCTAACTTTTGCTAAGGTATAAACTACATTAGTTATAATTCAATGATGATATAGGTTATTGGAATGTTTTCAATCCCAAATAAGCTCAAGAAACTTTATTAAACTGTTACAATGACACTCAGAGACTTTGTAAGATTACCTAAAGCTTTTAAATTTAAAACTATAGATCAATATTGTTATCTTTTTACTCTAATTTTCCATAATAGAAGAGAGGAATCTATACATAGTGCTTAAATTACCATCAATTCATTCAAATTTAAAAGAATTGTAGTTGGAATATTTCCGCTAATCATAGGATCTGCTACTCAGTTCTAATAGCAGATCATAGTCTGCAAGATAACGTGCTTAAACTTCTGATGATGGTGATATAATTCAAAATTGTAGATAATAAGCACTAGAAACAGCTAAAATTTCAGGTAAAACAAATATATACATAGAAGACTATTTGGAATTGGTAAGAGATAACAGCTCATACGAGTACAAACTTTTTGAAATGATGTATCCTTTCTTTGATGGTACATTTAATCACCATGATATAATGATGATAAGCAATTGCAGTAGTAGTAGAATTGATAGGATGCTAGAATTATACAATAGTGCACTCGAAAAATTTCTACTTTAATGATAGCAGAAGGTGTAAACAATCTATAGGTTTGACTAAAAATAAGAACTAATATAAAAATTATTATAAATTTATAAATTAAGCGCTCAATCTCTTAATAACTTTTAAATTGAATCAATAATCTAGTATGGACGAGAAGAACATGAGTTTAGATGATCTCATCAAGAGAGACAAAGGCTTCAAACGTGGAGGAGCAAGAGGTGGCAGAGGCGGCAGAGGTGGCCTCCAAAGAGGTGGAAGAGGAGGACTCCAAAGAGGTGGAGGTCTCGCCAGAAGACAAGGCCCAATCGGCGGATTCAGAAGAGGATTCGGTGGCCGTGGTGGCAGAGGTGGACTTCGCAGCAATCAACAGGTAATTAGAGATAATATTTTGTCTTGATTCACTATTATAGGTAATGTATCTCGAATAGTATTCGAGTCTTTAATATCTAATATACTCCCACTATATCCCAGAGTATCATCTATATCTATACAATTCTTGTATGCAAAAATGATGTCTTTAAAGCATCCCGGTAAATCTCTAATACTTCACTAAAATGTGATAAAATCATTAAGCTAGAATGTTCGTCTGACTTTCTTGCCTTGATAAGCTTATTTATATACAATACCTAAATAGCTATGAGATATAAAAATACTGCAGATATTGAAAGAATAGATTTTATCTGTGGCGTGGGTTATTATTGGATAAAACTTGAGAAGATGGTTTATTAACTGATCATCGTCGAATCATTTTATCATCTATTTAAAGATCTCTGACATTTTAATAGATCGGAGGAGGTGCCCGTGGAGGCAGAGGAGGTTTTCTTAAGAAACCCATTAGAAGACCAGTGATTGCAGCTGGAATCAATAGAATATAAAGAGGAGGTGGTCTTAGAATTTAGAGAAATCCAGCAGCTGCTGGACTTGCGAGAAGAGTTCCAAGAGGATTAGCTGCTCAAGGCCCAAGAATTATTAAAAAGACTTAGCAACAACAACCAGCTGGATTAAGAAGACTCAAGGTTAGAAATATAGATGATAAGCAAGTTACTAATGATGATCTTAAGGTAATTTATAATGAAATTTCTGATTCAGTTTAGAGACTTTTTGAGAAGCATGGTCCTTTAAAGGAATGCAAGTTCGACAGAAATCAATTCGGCTAGTTCCTTGGTTCAGCAACTGTGGTTTATGAGAAGGCTGAGCATGCCAAGGAAGCCATTCAGCAATATCATGGAGCTCAACTTGACGACAAAATCCTTACAGTTGAATATGCGCAAGCAGTAATAGTACCAAAGATCAGAACTGCCAACGCTATAAATAAGGGAAAGACACTTAGATTGGGAGGTAGAGCTGGAAGAAGATGAACAAATAAAAATGAATCATTTATACCACGCAAGCAAATGTTTCAAGATACTCAAACACAATTACTTTCAAGAAAGAATTATAATTTTAAATCTAAAACATTCATTGTAATTTATATTCTACTTTTCCCTGAGAATTACTACAATTAGATTGATGGGGTTTTGGGGTTTTGGGGTTTTGGGGTTTCGGAGGAGGAAG